ACACACACATATATATATATATACACATACATACATACATACATACATACATACATACATACATACATACATACACATACTCACATATACCACCACCAAATTACAGCATGCTAAATTGACTTGGGAAACGACCTTTTAACCTGCTATCCAGAACAGCCTTTCCTAATCCAATACCCTCAGATGTGGTGGAATGAAGCTTAGTTAAACATAGTTGCCGGGAATGATACAAGATGTGTACTGAATAAAAAGTTGGGAGCAATTAAAAGAAAAGTTTAAAAATACTGTCATTCCCACAAAATGTTTCCAACCACAGAAATGCTTTCTACAAAACCTTTTGCAGCCTTCATTCTGTTGCTGATTTGTTGTAAACTAATCAAAATTCTCAGAGACTGTGAAAAGAGCAGGAACTTGAGAGAGAAGCTTTACTCATTCTCACAGTCCCATCACTGAGGTTCCAAATCACTGAACTCTTGACTTCCCTGATCCATTTTTAATACCTGTTCATAAACTAGAGAGAATGAATGCTAGAACAAACCCTTAAAAACACAAACACATCTCAGAGTAGCATTTATTGATGGAACTTGATAAGAGTGATAATGAATGAGGTGCCAGTTCCTGCCCTCGGAGATTTAAAAAGAAAAATACGGCTGCATTTTAATGTGCCTTTCTTTACCTCGGCGGTAGCCGCCCATTATTCCCAAAGACAGTCATAAATAAAAGTAAGCTTGCTGTTGTATGCAGTTTAATTTGTCCTTTAAGTTTATCTATTTGCTTTCGCACCCAGTTTCCAAATGCATAGGCATTTTTTCTGTGAGCTAGCATTATTAAATTGCACGTATCAATCATTCTTGCCAGGATTGCCATCGCCAACTACATTAAAGAAGTCAGAGAAGTCTGGTTTCAGCAGTCCCTCGCCTTCACAGACCTCCTCCCTTGGAACGGCATTCACCCAGCATCATCGACCTGTCATTACAGGACCCAGAGGTGAGGCCTTACCAAAGTGTCCATGAGCTCCTGTTCCATGGCACCTTTGTCCTCAGTTTGGGATATATGAGAACATTCCTCTTTGGGGCACCAGTGTGGTGGCTTTTGAACCAAAAGTAGACAAAGGATTGTTAATTTTGTTCCCTCGTTTGAACCTAGGTTGCTTCATGGAAGGCTCAGGATTAAGTGGGTTCTAGCTAATCAATGAAACTTTATGACTTGGAAAGATAGACATTGTATTTGTAGATGGACACACAGGAATTTGTGTCTGCTTCAGCAAAAGTGGCATTCTGTTCTGTTGCTACAGAGCTTTAAGTCCTCAGCAGTCCACTAGATGTCATTTTATTTTTTAATAAGTAGTGTTCACTCTAAGTCTTTAACATCATTATTATGGGTCTTTTAAAATGGTTTATAGCAGGGGTGTCAAACTCACAGCCCACGGACCAGTGATGGGATTCAGCCAGCTTGCACCACGTTGGGAGAACCGGTTGTTAACTTTCTGAGCAGTTTGGTGAACTGGTTGTTGGAAGAAATCATTAGAGCAGAGAACCGGTTGTTAAATTATTTGAATCCCATCACTGCCACAGACCATATGTGTCACGCACTGCCATGCCCACCCCCGTTTTAGCAAAGGGGAGGAAAGTCACGATACGTGACAGTAACGTGATGACGCTTTATAGTATTTTGGTATTGTTGTTTGTTAGAATATTTTATGACTTAAAATAAAGCAACTGACTCTTCATTTCCTTGGGATGAATAATTAGATGTAGAGTTTCAAAAGTTTAATTTATAAAAGAAAAATTGCACTGACCACACCACATACTGTAGTAGAAAAAGGAGATGCATTTGATTTCCTTTTGCTTAAAGTGTTAGTGTTTTTCACTTTGAAAATATATTTATTTATTTCCTTACGGGGCATATGGAACACATCTTTTACTCTTGATAAATATACTCATTAAAATGACAAAGTAAAATAGATACTTGTGACATAATTTTTATTGTTTTTTTTTTCAAATATATAAATTGTATATACATAAATTACTAGGATTCACATTTAAAAATAAGAAAAGTTGAGAATATTTTCCTTAAAGCTTTCCTTAAAGCTGGTTTTGTGTCTACTCAGACTTATTATTGTGGAAAATTCTTTCAGGTAATTAGGTATAGGTATCATTCTTAAATGCTTGTTGTAAATGATTATAACTAAACCTTAAGCTTACAATAGAACTTGGCTGAGTAATTCCCATAGCTTTCAAAACAAAATCACATTCTGCTGGAGAGCTAGTTGCACTTAATTGGTTGTTAATCGTGTAGCCAGTTGCTGGGAAATCCACATACACTTTAAAAACAACCTTATAATTGGTGATAATAGCAAGGTATTCATAATATCAGAGTTACATTAGCAGTATATTCAGCTGTAGACCAGCTGACTGCAGAGTCTCATCCTGAAATTTGAATAAGTTAGACTCTCAACAGGAATTGCTTCCATACTATTGCCATTGCTAATAAGATACTGCATGCAAACCAGATAGGGTGCTCACTTGATCTTGAAAAAGATGACAAGTTTTTTTAAGAATAACAGAGTATATTTTGGGGGAAAAACAGCAGTCCCATGGTAATTCAAAGGCTAATAAATACATAATATCATAAGCTTTCACAGACAAGAAATCACTTGTTTGGATTGACTAAGCTTTAGCTCCTAAAATCTGTTGAACTTAAAGCTGCCATATGACTTGGTTGCTAAAATCTTTCCAGCATTCCTATCATATTGTAAATTGCCCAGAGTCACTGTATTAGTGATAGGTGGCATAAAAATTTAATAAATGAATTGTGATAATTGCTGCTACAGCTAACTGATTTTTGCAAACATGTGAGCGCATATTCATTCAGCTTTCATGGGCTTATTATGGATCTGTCTTTGGCCAGATTTCTTGAATTAGTGCTCTTGACGGCTGGCTTCTTTAAGAAAAATCTTAATTTTTTTTTTAAAAAGTATCCAATGGAAAATCTTGTCACACTTTTCCTAGAGCACTGATGTGAAAAACCACTTTTTACTTCAAAGGCAGCTTTTGAGTCAAGCAAACTCACCTCAAGCCTTTATTGCCTAAGCTGCATTTCTGGCCCCCAATTCAATTAAGAAAGGCTGAATTTAGTCTGCATTACTTCTCTTATTCAGCAAATCTAGAAATAGGTCATTGTTAAACAAGAATAAGGTGAAACCTTGACCAGAAATTTTAACAAGGTACGATTTATGTTTTTGCATCTTTGACTCTTCTTATCAAACATTAGAGTCTTTGGGGGAAGGGTGCAATACTCACTACTGTAGTACCGTACCTATTTAGACTACTAACAATAGCTGCTGTCTTAATATGTTGTCAGGTAAGTTGAATTCCTTAAATTCAAGTTGAGGTTTCAACCATCATGAATTCCACCCAAGCATTTATATTCTGCCCATAAATTAGATTTGGAAAGACAAGTGACTTAAATTATGAAGAGCCCCATGATTACTATTCAACATGAGCAGATAAGAATTAAACACAGAGAAAAGATAGTTATATGGATGATACAGAAGGAATGGACAAAACACAGACTATTGTAGACTAAACAGCTACTTTCTGTGCAAAGCAAATTTATGCAAAGAAGTCTGTGACGTGTGCAGATTGACTATATACATCCAGATTGTATAACTTCTGATAGGATACAGCTGGTGAGCTGAAATAAAAACAGAAAAGCATCACTTGCAGGCAAAGAAGAAGTTTCAGTTTCCTAGTGGGTGGGTGAGTGGGTGGATAGCAAGTTTCTTCAGGAATACTCTTTTATAATAAATTAGTCCACGTAATTGCTGCACATTTGGAGGTCACATTCAGTTGATTATTTATATCCCACTTTTATTATTTTTACAAAAAACTCGAAGTGGCGAACATATCCAACATACCATACTCCTCCTTTTTTCTCCACAACAACCCTGTGAGGTGGGTTGGACTGAGAGAGAGTGTGTGACTCGCCCAAGGTCATTCAGCTAGCTTTCTGTGAGTAAGGTGAGACTTGAACTAACAGTCTCCTGCTTTCTAGCCTGGTGCTTTAACCACTAGACCAATATGGCAATAAAATTAAGAAGCCATGGATTTGGAATAATTTGATTATCTGGGAAACAAAGCAAGTATGGATGAAAGTTGAATGCAATCCAAAATCTGTAAAATCTTTATTGCAACATAGAGAACATATACTGTATTTATCATAAAGAAAAATCTTGAAATTACAAATTCTATATTACTTAGTAAATGCTATATTTTAGATATTCTCCTGAAAACTGTAATATTGAGATTCCCCATGTGAGGCCTGCCATGGTAACTTTCCTTGGCACCTATCATATGCTGCTCAGCCTGCTCCATATGACTTCTTAATTTTTTAAAAATCCTTATAATCAAAAAATGGGAATAGAGTGTACTGTAAAGATAATAGCTAGTCCAGCATCAACTGTATTTCTACCGGTAGTAATACCTCTGGCACCGTATTCATTTGACCCATAAATCTCCTTAAGAAATAAAAGGGGTGAGTTGCAGGCGAGATGCCCCGTACGGATGTACGGGTGCTTTAACCACTAGATCAATATGGCAATAAATGCCTGCCCGGAGCATCAGGTACCATTCCAGTACAGTGCTCTGGAGGGCCCACCTGCCCACCTGAACTCCTTACCTGTATTTGAGCTCTTCGGCCCTTCCGCACAAACGCACGGAGCACATAGCACCTGCACGATGCTCCACTGAGCAGCTGGAGTGTTGCGGAAGCTCGCAGAGGCGTCACAAGAGGTAAGGAGGCATGCGCACGCTGTGCGTGTGTGCACACGCTGTGCGCGTTCATGTGGTGGATGCCCATTGCACCATACCATTGTATTGAATATATATTGTATCAATAAAAAGACAAAAGAATCTAGGAATGAAAGGGAAAAACTGTGGGAGCCAAAAAAAAAAGAGAATTAATAAGTAAAGAGCTTGTTTTGCAAGAACCACATTTACTGTTTTTGTCTTTTAAGTTTATGTTGTAGTGTGTTCTTTGTGTCCATGACATATTACAGGGATGCATTTTCCTGGCCATGTGTTCATATGTACATTCATGTATGGTTCTGAATGGTATCCATTCACGTTTATAAAATGACCATTTTTCTGTGATTGCCACCATTGCATTCATTGTTGAATAGACAAACTTCCACTGATTGTAAAAAAAAGCCTATAAACTTCAGTTGAATCCTTTCATCCTGAACAGTCCCAGGTCAGCAGATATTTAGCAGGTAGTATCTAGTGGTCCATTGAGGGTTTTTTTTCCTTTTAAATTTATGCATTTATTAATTTTAATTATTATTATTATTTTTATTCATTTTTATTTTATTTTTATTGATTTAATTTTTGTCAGATGTTGGACATGTGTTATCATATAAAATTAAACATGTTATCCTAACTGATGATTGACCTTTCTCTGCTAGAAGTTGGTTCCAAGCTTCTACTATCACTTTTTTAACATTACTTTTGAATTTCTCTCCTGTCAGTTTGAGGTTATGCCCCGTGTTCTTGATTCTTGCTTAATATTTAAATGCTGCCTTCTAGAACCTTATTCACACCCTTAATAGAGTTAAAAGTTGCAATCATATCCCAACTTTCTCTCCTGTCCTTCAGGCTGTACATCAGTGGTGGGTTCCGGATCCTGTTGCAACCGGTACGGTGCAACAGGGCCGGGGTCCACCACATGCACGTGCGCAGCGCACGCATGCGTACTTACCACCCACAATGCTCCAGCTGCTTGGCTGAGAGTCACGCAGGTGCTGTATCATCTATGCACATGCGTGGAAGCCCCGGTCGGCTCAAATACCGGGCGGATGGGCCCTCCGGAGCACTGGACCGGTACCAGGGTGTACCGGTCATATCCCAACTCTGCTGTACATAATCAGTTCTTCAATCTCTCCTGATATGTTTGTCTCTCTTAGACTTCGTTGCCATCTCTGATCTTAC